CATTCAGTTTGAGTCAATTTCCGCAACCAATGAAAACGACGGTATCGCAGTAGATAGCAGTAATGGTACTTTCATAGTCACTGGTCGCGGAGATATCGCTGGGAGTGGTGGAACGATTTCTGGCATGACTAATGTGGGTGCAGCTTTTAATAACACACAAGTCGTTCGTCTGGGATATATGGACATCGAAGCCAACGTGATTGGAGTTCGCGCCGAAAACATGATCGTTGAATCTCCTCAAGGACTTTCTCCCGAGTTGGTCCTCGAAGGGATGAATATCGAAGACTCCACCCAGGAGGGGATCGACATTCTTGATGTCTCTGACTTCGAACTACTTGACTCCAATATCGATGGCAATGGTCTCGCAACCGGTTCCAGCCAGATCACTTACCTCGCCACAGTCGAAGAAACTGACATCGACCTTGATGGCGATGATGAAGACCCGGTTGTCTACAACATTGCGATGACGAACAACAGCGTCACTGATACCAACACGACGACTTTCGGGAACATGATTGACATCAGCACCGGTCCTGGAATTGGTGATGGGGCCGAGTTGAACTTTCTGTTCCAGAACAACGGAACACCAGGCACAACCGCGGCCTTTAACACGATCAGCTCAAACCGTACGAATGCTGCTCTGAGTGTTGTCTGGGAAGGCCCGTCTGACATCATCATCGATAACAACACCTTCCTGCTCAACGCGACAGTCGGCGAAATCGGTGTCGAACTCGATCTCGATGGAATTTCAAATGTCGCGTTCACTAATAACGATGTCGCTTCCAATGGCGTCAGCACAATCGGAATCGACTTCAACTTTGAAGAGTCTACTACGCTCGTCATCGGCAGCAATTCCGTACTCGATGCCAATGGAGCAGTTCAAGCTGGGTCAGGCTTCCAGCTAAGCGGGATCAACTCGACTGCGATGCAGTTGTCATTCCAGTCAGGGAACAACAACATCAATATCTTCGACAACCTGATCAACTTACTAGGTGTTGATAGTACCGGTATCGATTTTGTGCGAATCTTCGCTCCCTCCAACGTCGCAATCGACAATAACTTCATTGGATTGGTTACTGATTTCGATACAGCCCGTGAGGAAGGAATTATCTTCCGTGATGTCCGCGGAGTCATCAATCTGAACGGAACGCAGGACAACTCCATCCCGCTCGGAACGTTCTTCCCGTTCTATGTAGACTTCTTTATCCCCGGCGGAACCAGCAACGGTCAGATCATCATCAACGGATCGCCAAGACCGTAGTCTGACATGACGATTAATTCTCACACGCCGGAGCAGCTTTTGCTTCCGGCGTTTTTTTATAGGATCTGTTTCGCCGTTCAATTAACTGTGCCACAATGCTGATGGCTATTTCTGGTACTGTTTGCGAGCCTATCTCCAGTCCAATGGGAGCAGCGACCTTCTCTAATGCATCAGCAGCGATGCCCTGTCTCATGAGATCATCGAAAATGAGGCGAATCTTCCTCTTCGACCCAATCATGCCAAGAAAGCCCGGTTGCTTCTGAATGAGATGGAGCAGGGCCTCTTCATCATGGTTATGCCCACGCGTAACGATGACACAATAAGTCTGAGACGAAATATTGAGATTCGGTAATTTCTCCGCAAAGTCACCGACAATCCAATCATCCGCCCAGGGGACATTTTCTTCATTACAGAACTTCTCACGGTCATCGATCACAGTCACTCGAAAATCGACCTCTTTGGCATATCGAGCAAGCTCACGACCGACATGGCCCGCTCCCACAATGATCAAGTCCGCTCGCTGTAGTTGCGGGAGATAGGCAATACCACCCGCAACAAATGCTTTCGGTCTCACGGAGAGATCTGGTAATTTTCCGATGAGATGCGGTGTCGGGTCTGAGTCCCCGACTGAATTGATCAAACGCTGCTGATGGTCGAAAAGAAATCGATGGCAAGGTGACAAATCGCCAGCATCAATCACAATTGCTTCCAGGCAACCATCTGCTTGCTCTACCAGGTGCAGATACTCCCGGTAGTAACGATCACTTTGCTCATCCAAAACGGGCGCAATCAGCATAGTCATCCGTCCCCCGCAGATGAGACCATCGTCCCAGCCGTAATCGTGATTGAGTTGAAAGGTGACGATTTCACTTTTGCCGGTAGGGAGTTGTTCTAATGCTTTTCTTTTGACCTCTGCTTCAACGCACCCTCCCCCAAGAGTCCCGACCTGACGACCGTCGGCATAGACCAGCATCGCAGCCCCCGCCTTCTGCGGAGTTGAACCTCTCGTTTCAACCAGCGAAGTAAAGACAACCGGAGTTTTTGCTGTACGGGCAGCGACAAGAGCTTTTAAGACTTCACGCATGTGAGACGTCAATCAGGGGAGAGTTTCAGGCAGGACGAGTTCGGCCTGTTTGGTGCAACTGAATTCGGAAATCAAGGAAGAGATTCTAACCGACTGGGCAACAGATTCTACCGCTGATGAACACACATGAACGCTGATAAAACCTAAAATGAGTGTTCATCAGCGTCTATTAGCGGTCCCTTCACAAATACTCTGAAAGGATTAATCGCCTGTATTCAAGTTTCCCAATGGGACCAAAGTTGATGAGATATCCAATCGGGCTGCGACTGATTCGCATATAATTCATGAGTTGCCCCTCGTGTTCAGCTGCCATGGTGGACACGCTTTTGAGTTCGACGACAATTCTTTCAAAGATGATCAGATCTGGCACGTATCGTTTTTCCAAGTCATGATTTTTGTAGACAACTCTCAGTCCTTGTTTTGTGTGAAACGGAATCTTTCGCATCCGCAATTCAATCTCCAGACTCTGCTGATAAATCTCTTCCGACAACCCTCTCCCCAGTACATTATGAACCTCAAAAGCTGCTCCCATCAGAGCGTAACCTTCATTCGCATAAGGTTGATCCGACATGCAAAGCCCCTGAAGTGTTAACCGCTAATGAACACTCGTGCACGCTAATAAAACCTAAAATGAGCGTTCATTAGCGTCTATCAGCGGTCCCTTCACAAATACTCTGAAGGATTAATCGCCTGTATTCAAGTTTCCCAATGAGACCAAAGTTGATGGGTGAGACTCGAGCGTGGCTCCGCCTCAAACCTACGGAGTAGGTACGATGACCGTTATCAGGTCCTCATTCCTCTATCAATGACTTTCTTACGTTCAGAGGAGGTGTGAACCTCAGCTGCAACATGAATTCAGGTGGCAGCTTGGTCAAATCAATTCTTTCATCGGGCGGTAGGTGTTCTGATCAACGAGGAAACGAGGACGCCCCTGTAGATCGTCGAGAGCAAGGTGATCTATGTCGATCCCTAAAGACTTGTAAAGAGTTGCGAAGACTTCCTGGAAATGGACAGGCCGCTCAATTGGCTCTTCACCGAGACGGTTCGTCTGACCGATCACCTGTCCATGCTTCATCCCACCGCCAGCCAGCATGGCACAGGAAACGCGTGGCCAGTGATCCCGACCAGCATTGGCATTGATCTTCGGAGTCCGACCAAACTCACCCCAGACCACAACAGAAACATCATCCAGCATGCCTCGGTTTTCCATATCCTCAATTAAAGCACTGACAGCCTGATCGAGCATCGGCATGTCCTGGCGGCCCCTGTTGAAATTGCCACCATGCCAATCCCAACGACTGAATGACAACGAAACGCAGCGAACCCCGGCTTCAATTAGACGGCGTGCCTTGAGGAAGTTCGTGAGTAATCGCGTGCTACCATCTGATTGAAGTTTGTCTTCCCCATAGCCATAACGATCCCGGAGTTGCTGCGATTCATTTTCCAGATCGAGAGCATCAGCCAGTTTGCTGGATGTCAAAATTCCGAAGGCCTGTTCGGTAAAGGCATCCTGGCCAGCCATCATTCCACTGGCGTCTATCTTTGAACGGAACTGATCGAACGATCGCAGCACTTGCTTACGGCTTGCCAATCGATCTGCTGTGATACCATTTAAGACCAGATCGCCAGCACCATCTCCGTTCGGTGTAAACGGAGCGTGTGCCACGCCGAGATACCCAGGCTGCCCATTATCTCCCCATGGAACATGACGCGTTTTTGGTGAGAGACCAACATACGCCGGAACTGCTGGATCTTTGGGCCCATAAACTTTAGAGAGAACGGATCCCAATGCAGGCCAGCCACCAGGTGGTTGATTCCGGTCGTGGTGACCTGTCAAACATTGAAAGGCATAATGGGAGCCACTCGCTCCCACCATCGTTCTGATGAAGGTCAGTTTATCTGACATGGAAGCCAGACGAGGGAACTGTTCGCAGATCTCAATCCCGGGCACCTTCGTCTGGATCGGCAGGAACTCTCCACGAACCTCTGCCGGAGCGTTCATCTTGATATCCCACATATCCTGATGAGGAGGTCCCCCCGGTAAAAAGATCATGATGATCCCTTTCCCGTTGCCATCGACTCCAGTGGCTTTTTCAGCCTTCAGTATCTGCGGTAATGTCAACCCACCCAAAGCGAGCCCACCAATACGCAGGAATGAACGGCGGGAAACTGAATCACACATCGGTGTGCGGTGACCAAGGAGTGTCAACATGATATTAACTCCGGCAGGCGGAAAAAGGTGGGTGATGTGGGAAGGTTCCCCGCCTGATTTCATCAACGTCAAGCAGAGGATTGGGTGTATACAACTTTTCTGGAGTATTATTGTGTATCGAGCAACAAAGACTCAAACATCAGAGTAATTCAATGTGACCGGATTTGTCAAATTTTCTGGCCAAAACTGGGTAGAATACCCTCCTTCCTGGCTTCCATAAGCGATTCTATGGTGTCCACATCACACGCTCAGAATCGTGAAAGACAAGGTCTTTATGCTGACGAGTTGATCGGCCTTGTCTACTGGGATACGATAGGAAACTCGTAAATGCTCTCTTCATCTTTACTTTTCAAAGCAATTACTCATTGTCTGTGCCTCAACACATCGATCTGGACAACCTGGCTGACCCTGCAGAAGCAGTGCGGCAAACGGTCGCTTGTTTGATGGAGGGGGGTGTAGTCTTGCTTCCTGACGAGGTGGGCAGCCTTCTACTGGCATTGCCTGATTCAAATTCTGCTGTAGACCAGCTGCATGTGATCTCTGAACAAATTCCTGGTGCCACCCGACTCGTTGCAATCGCCCATCCAACCGTCATTTACGACTACGAAGCAGAAGTTAGTTCAATTTCGGAGAAACTCGCACGCCGTTGCTGGCCAGGCCCTGTCGCCCTGCGTACTCCTGGCAAGTCTGCGGAATCTCAGTGCGAAACGTGGCCAGATCGCTCTAAGCAGTGGGGAATTAATGACTTTGGACGAGCCTTCATGGTACCAGGTGGAGTCTTCGCTGAAGAAGTTGTTCGGAAACTCCCAACCGCAGCATTAGGCTTGTCTGTTTCACCGGAACAGGTGAAGGAAATTTCGACAGATCAGATCGATTTGATTGTCAGCAGCTCAGCTGAAACGTACTCCGAGGGAATCACAGTCGTTTCAGTACAAGATCATCAGCTACATATCGAACGCGAAGGTGCCGTCAGTCAAAGAGTACTAAATCGTTTAAGGGGTGAAGTTTATATCTTCATATGCACCGGCAACACCTGTCGCAGCCCCATGGCAGAGGCGATCTTTCGCAAAATGCTGGCAGATAAGATTGGCTGTCAGGATGACGAGTTGCTGGATCGAGGATACACTGTCATTTCTGCTGGACTCGCAGCTTATCCTGGCGCCCCCGCCAGTCGTGATGCTGTCCAGTTGTTAAGGGAAGACGGTATCGACCTGTCGAGTCATGAGAGTCAACCTGTCACACAAGAATTACTCAGTCATTGTGATCAGATATTTACAATGACAAGAAGTCATCTCGACGCCATATTAAATTCACTCCCGGAACTTACTGGTAAAGTGCACCTGCTCTCCCAAAACGGAAACGACGTTTCCGATCCGATTGGCGGTGGGCCAGATGAGTACAGACGTTGTCGAGATGAGATTGAAGGGTACCTCCAAAAGCTGTTAGATCAGCAAGAAATTTAAGGATAGGCAAAATGAAAATTGCCATTGCAAGCGATCACCGTGGAGTCCGCATCAAGGGGCAGATTCTCGACCAAATCTCCTCACTAGGTTACGAAGGAATCGACTTCGGCCCTGGAGATGAAGAAAGCGTCGATTACCCCGATTACGCCAGCAAAGTCGCAGAATCCGTGAGCAATGGGTCCGTTGATCGCGGTATTTTGATCTGTGGAACGGGAATGGGGATGTGCATCACCGCCAACAAATTCCAGAATGTCCGAGCTGTCTCTTGCCATGATGATGTGACCGCGGAGTACAGTAGACGTCATAACAATGCCAACATCATGTGCCTGTCGGCTGACATGCTCGGCGACCGTTTACTTGGTCGTATTGTAGAACTCTGGTTGAAAACAGAATTCGAAGGGGGCCGACATCAACGTCGACTCGATAAGATACACGACATCGAAGTCGCCCAAGGCTGCTGCACTGGAGTCACTCAAAACAAAGAGGCGAACTGCTGAGCGTTCAAATTCGAGGGATGGAATTTGCTACGCTGATTTTTGAACTTCTTTGTTTTTTGGGACCAGTTTTGTTCACTTGCCTGTGAAGCAGGGAACGTAGGAATCAGGGGTAGGAATTGGACTTCCAACTTTGTTGGATATCCGCTCCAGTTCCTATCCGAGCATCTGAATCAGGACCACTCATTGACGCTTATCTACGAGAATTCTTATTTTTATTTGCGTTCATCAGTGTTTATCAGCGGTAGAAACTTTTTCCGGACATGAGTCCAGCGGCCTTCGGTCGATTCTAGAATTTGATTTGCGGTCACAATAACTGCCAGAGGAGATTGCTTTGGATCCATCAACACTCAAGTTTGCCAAAACACATGAATGGTTATCTGTGGATGGTGAAACTGCCACGATTGGTATCAGTGATTTCGCAGTTAAAGAGTTGACCGATGTTGTGCACATCGAGTTACCTTCTGTTGGAAAGACGGTGGCCGCTGGCGAAGAGATGGGAGAGATCGAAAGCGTGAAAGCTGTTAGCGATCTCTACGCACCTGTCAGCGGTGAAATCATTGAAGTGAATTCTGCACTCGAAGACGACTTAAGCCCATTGTCTGAGGATGCTTTCGGTGCTGGTTGGATCGTGAAACTCAAAGTCGCCGATTCTTCCGAGGTTGAGGCATTGATGAATTACGAAGCCTATCAACAATCTTGCGAAGCTCACTGAGTTGCTAAAACCTCAGTAATCACATCAATGACTGCCTCCAAATGAGTTTCAGCAGGAATCTCTCGCAGTCAGTTCGTTATCCGTTCGTTGAAATTGCAGTAATATTAATGAGAACCTGCGCTGAAGGTTCGTGATAAGACTACTCCCAGATGACGCAACGAGGAAAACTCATTTCTACTTCCCGATGCTGAGATTGCCCTCAAGCATCCTGCACTGACCATGTTCTCAAATTAGAATGCCTCAGCGTACAGGGACGTGCCGAAGATAAGCAACATTCGCTCGAAATCAATGAAAGGACTGCATTGATTTCAGCTGCAAGGAGCCCTACGAGTGGCCTATCTTTATAACACGCCTGAACAGCTAGAGCAGATGCTCGGCACGATTGGCGTTACGTCCATTGATGAACTTCTACAACAAGTCCCGCAGCATCTCCAAATGGATCAACCATTGGATTTGCCTCCAGCGTTATCTGAACTTGAATTACAGCAGCACGTAGAAAAACTTGCTGCCTGCAACAACGCTGACAGGACTTGCTTCTTAGGAGGGGGAGCCTACGACCACTTTATTCCTGCGGTCGTTGATGAACTTGCCAGTCGTGGTGAGTATTACACGGCTTATACGCCATACCAGGCCGAAGCGAGTCAGGGAACTCTCCTAGCCTTCTTTGAGTACCAGTCGTTGATCTGCGGTCTGACAGGCTTTGATGTCTCCAACGCCAGCCTGTACGAAGGCGGGACTTCGGTCAGCGAAGCCGCTTTCATGGCGATGCGCGTCACCCGTCGGCATGGCAAAATATTGATCTCAGAAGGTGTTCATCCTGAGTACCGGCAAGTGGTCGAGACCTATGTTCGGAACCTCGACACCGAAGTCGTCACAATTCCAACAGTCAACGGGACAACCGATCTTGAAGCGACTCGCCAACTGGTTGACGACGAGACCGCGTGCCTGGTCTTACAACAACCGAATTTCTTTGGTTGTCTTGAAGATGGAGAAACACTTTGTGAAATTGCCAAAGAAGCAGGCGCACTTTCCGTTGTCTCGTTTGATCCAATTTCACTCGGCGTCCTGAAACGGCCTGCCGACTACGGAGCAGATATCGGCGTCGCTGAGGGACAATCGCTGGGAGTCCCTCTGCAATATGGTGGCCCTTACTTGGGGATCCTCGCCTGCCGAGAACAGTACGTTCGCAAAATGCCCGGTCGCCTCATCTCTCTGGCAACTGATCGCGATGGCAAACAATGCTACGTTCTCGGCCTGCAAACCCGCGAACAGCATATCCGACGTGACAAGGCCACCAGCAATATCTGTACGAATCAAGGACTCCTGGCTCTGAGGGCGACCTTCTACCTGTCGCTCATGGGACCTGCCGGACTCAAAGAAGTCGGTGAGTTATCCTGCCAGAAAGCCCACTATGCAGCTCAGCAGTTCACAAAGTTAGATGGTGTTCAGCTTGCCTATGACACACCGTTCTTCAAAGAATTTGTACTCAATGTAAGTGAGGGGGCCGAGTCATTCATTCAGCGAGCAGCCAACGCCGGTTTTGATGTCGGCCCGGCACTCAACAGGTTCCCCGCCAGCGACGATCAAAGTGAGAACCTGGTTCTTGTCGCAGTCACAGAAGTTCGTACTCGAGATGAAATCGATTCAATGATCGCAGCTCTATCATAACTTCCTGGCACAAAATTACTTTCAGCTGGTGTCGTTGACACCGGAGAATTCAATGCGAAATAAATTTGCCACCCGACCTTTGTTCGAAATGTCCTCACCTGGACGTCGAGCAGCGACCCTGCCCGCCAGCGATGTCCCTGAGATCGATCTGTCAGAGGTTTTACCCGCTCATTGTTGCAGCGAAGCACCTTTACCCTTGCCGGAATTGGCAGAGGGTGATGTCGTTCGACATTATCTGAACCTCTCGACGCTAAACATGTGTGTCGATTCACACTTTTATCCACTTGGTAGCTGTACGATGAAGTACAACCCCAAGCGGCATGAGCGTTTGGCACGAACTCATGGATTGGGAGACCTGCACCCCTACACGACTCCTGAAAATTCACAGGGAATGCTGGCGATTCTTCATGAGTTGCAAACAATGTTGGGAGAAATCGCAGGCTTGCCTGCCGTCTCGCTGCAACCAGCCGCTGGTGCTCAAGGCGAACTCGCAGCCTTGCATGTGGCCTCAGCATACTTCGCTGACAAAGGAGAAAGCCGGACCAAAGTTATCTTCCCCAGCAGTGCTCATGGAACAAATCCAGCCAGTGCTGCATTAGCTGGCTTCGATTGCGTTCAGCTCGCTCCTTCAGAAGATGGTCTGGTCGATCTTGAAGAGTTAAAGAAGCACGTCGATGAGCAAACTGCGGTCTTCATGATCACCAACCCCAACACCTTGGGGTTGTTCGAGAAAGGCATCGCTGAGATCTGCCAAGTCCTGCATGACAATGGCGGTCTAGTCTATATTGATGGTGCCAACATGAACGCCATTCTGGGAATTACTCGCCCCGGTGACTTCGGCGGTGACATGATGCACTACAACGTTCACAAAACATTCACCGGTCCTCATGGAGCAGGTGGTCCAGGGGCTGGACCCATCGCTGTGCGAGATTTTCTAGCAGACTTCCTGCCAGGCCCCGTTGTCACCAAGTCCAGTGATGGTGAGAACATCGAATACCAACTCACCAACCCACCGAAAAGCATCGGACGCATGCGGTCCTTCTTCGGCAATGTCGGCATTCTATTAAGAGGTTATTTCTACCTGAGAACATTAGGAGCCCAGGGACTGCGAGATGTCTCAGAGCATGCAGTCCTCAATGCCAACTATTTGAAAGCAGCATTGAGCGATGTTCTCCCCGTCCCCCGTGGTGAGCATTGCATGCACGAATTTGTCGCTTCAGCTCGCAAACTGAAAGATGAACAAGGGATCACAGCGATGGACATCGCGAAACGCCTGCTTGACTTCGGCTTCCACGCCCCGACTGTTTACTTCCCGCTTGTCGTCCCCGAAGCGATGATGATTGAACCAACAGAGACCGAATCAAAGGAAACCCTAGATGCTTTCGTGGATGCGATCAAAGCAATTGTCTCCGAAAATGCAGAGACGCTGCACGAAGCACCTCATGAAACGAGTATTCGCCGCCCTGATGAAGTGACGGCAGCCAGAAATCCAGTCCTCAAATGGCAAGCATGTGTTAAGGACTGAATGACCAATACATCAATTTCAACTGGAATCCAAAGAACGGACAACACCTGCAAAAATCACCAACTCCCCCCTTGCCCGCCCGCTGCAAGAGAACTAGACTACCTCCGGTCGCATAGTTCAGTTGGTTAGAATGTCTGTTTTACACACAGAAGGTCTCCGGTTCGAGTCCGGATGCGACCACTCGCCGCTTCGCTGAAGCGGCTTTTTTTATGTAAATTCCACGAGGTCTGACCATGTTTTGGCAAGTCAAAAGAACAATGGAAAAAGTCCTGGACATCCAAAAGCTCACTCTTTTGTTCATTCTTGCTTTCGGGCTCTCTGCATCGCTGCCTGCTAAGGAGCGGCCAAACATCGTCTTGATTATGGCCGACGATATCGGTGTTGAAGGAATCGGCTGTTACGGAGGGACGAGTTACCAAACACCTGCCATCGATCGGTTGGCCTCAGAGGGTGTTCGTTTTACCCACGCCTACGCTCAGCCATTGTGTACCAATACCCGGGTCCAGTTGATGACCGGCCTGTACAACAATCGCAACTGGCTCTACTTCGGAATACTTGATCCGCAAGCAAAGACGATTGGTCACTATATGCAGGAAGCTGGCTACAACACCTGTATTGCCGGGAAATGGCAGTTGCAAAGTTACGATCCTCCCAGCTATCCCGGCTCCCATTTGCGTCGTGGAAAGGGGATGAAGGCCTCCGCTGCTGGATTTGACGAGTACAGCCTGTTTCATGCCTGGCATTCTGAAGACAAGGGATCCCGTTTCGCAAACCCGACTTTTTATGAAAACGGCAAGCTGATCAAGGAACTCAAAGGCAAATACGGCCCGGACCACTGGGTCGAATTCATCAACGACTTCATCGAACGCAAAAAGGACGATGACAAACCTTTCTTCGTCTACTATGCGATGGCCTTACCCCACCGCCCATTCGAACCAACACCTGACAGCGAGGACTGGCTCAACCAGGCAGCTTATGCAGAAGAAGATACGCGGCACTTTCAGGACATGGTCGAGTATATGGACAAATGCGTCGGCCGCGTGGTCCATCATGTTGACGCCCTGGGGCTGGGTGAGAACACCATCGTAATTTTCTACAGCGACAATGGAACACATCAGAAAATCACTTCTCAAACAATCAATGGACCCGTCGTCGGAGGAAAAGGCCGAACAACAGATGCGGGGACACACGTACCTCTCATCGTCCGTTGGACTGGAAAGGTAAAAGCTGGCATCAACGGGAACCTTGTCGATTCCACCGACTTCTTACCGACAGTCATGGAAGCAGCACATAAACCGATCAGTTCCGAAGTCAATCTCGATGGAATCAGTTTCTACGCTCAACTGTTTGGAAACTTTGATCGTGTTCGCCAATGGGTCTTTTGCCATTACGACCCTCGACCAGGCTGGGACAAAGACCAATTCAGAAAAATCCGTTTCGCACGCGACAAGAAATATAAACTTTATGGCGATGGAAAACTTTACGATGTGCCCAACGACAAACTCGAAAAACAGCCAATCCTCGCCAACGCAGATACTCAGGAACAACGGCCAGCACGTCAGCGACTCGCTGCCGTTTTAGAAAACATGTCCAATCCTGATCCGGCTCCCCGGGATGGCGATCCTCGTAAATTGGAACAACGTTTATATTTGGCTGCCGGAGGACATCTCAGTGTATACGAAGTCAACAAAGAGACTGGTGCTTTGTCGCAGCTCCAGAAGTTACCGCTCGCTGGAGCTGGCCCCTTCACTTTCGCTCCGAACCGTAAGTTGATGTACGCCGTAGCGACAATGACAGAAGGCAAGGTGAAGTCACCATCAATCGCGACTCTACAGATTGAGCCGGGAGGCCAACTCAAGCTCGTCAATAATGCAAGAGCAAATCTGCGCGCCGGTTATCTGATGACTGATAACAATGGAGAGTTTTTGGCGGGTAATCATTATGGCCCGGGGAAGGCTTCCATCTGGAAAATTGATCCGATCTATCGCGGTGTGACGTTAGGAGAATTGCCACTTGAACAAAGAGTCCACAGCACTGTATTTTCTCCTGATAATCACTGGCTGTTCATTCCAGCGACAGGACCAAACAAAATTTTCATTAACCACTTTACGGCTCAGGTTGGGACTGTCGAACCTAATGAGCCACCTTTTGCTAAAGGACCTGCCGGAATTGAGGAATCAAAACAACCTCGTCATTTAGTCTTTCACCCCAATTTGTCAGTCGCATACACATCAAACGAACGTGATCAACCCGGCGTTGGAGTCTGGCAGTTTGACACTGAAAGTGGTCAGCTAGAACCAATTCAAAATATTGTGACACAACCGGAAGGCTTCACCGGACAGATCACGACTGCCGACCTCCACCTGACTCCGGATGCTCGATTCTTGTATGTCTCTAACCGGGATATCTCCAAACGCAATGCGCCGACAGGGGAAGACAGCATTGTCGGCTTCAGTGTTGATGCTCAAACCGGAGAGCTGAAAATGATCGGTCACTCTCCCTGCGAGCGTATTCCCAGATCCTTCACCATCGACAAGCTTGGTCAGTTTCTCTACGTCGCCGGTCAAGGTGATTCTCGTCTGGGGATCTATCGCATCGAGGAGTCCGGCTCCTTGAAAAAGCTTCAGCAGCACCAAGTTGAGAAAAGTCCGATCTGGGTAGAAACGTTGTCCATTCTTGGACAGTAAAATTTCTCGCGGCGACCTCAGAGGCTATTCAGCTCTCGCCTTGAACTGTCAGTACGAGCTTTCTCGACCCACCGTGATTCCGATGCTCGCATAGATAAATCCCTTGCCAGGTTCCGAGTTGCAGCTGACCGTTGTTGATGGGAATGGTCACGGAACTCCCCATCATGGATGCCTTCACATGAGCCGGCATGTCATCAGGACCTTCGCAGGTATGTACATAAGGAAAGTTCTCGGGGACAATCGCATTGACCGATGATTCCATATCAACCAGAACATCGGGGTCCGCGTTCTCATTGATCGTCAACGATGCAGATGTGTGCTTGATAAAGACATGCAACAGCCCGACTTTGAACTGAGCCAGCTCCGGTAACTCATTCACCACATGTCGAGTAATGATGTGAAATCCTCGACGGTAACTGGGCAATGAAATCTGCTTTTGCACCCAAGGCATAATGAGTAACCTAAATCGTTTGGATCGGAGGTGATGATAAACAGACTATCAATAAAAAGACGCCGGCGGGCAACCGGCGTCTTCAGGAAGAATCAATTTTCGCTTGAATGGTTACTTTTGTGCAATCAGTTCAGGACCAGTCGCTTTGTTTTCAACTGGTGCTCCGCTGCGGCGAGTGGCTGTCCAGCGAACAACTCTTGCGATTGATGAGTTTGCTCCAGACTGATTCGCGACTGGAGAGCTGTGTACTTCTGGGGTCGGTTCAGGCTGAATTTCTTCAGCTGGCGACTTACGATAAACCGGTTGTTGAAGTGGAACATCTTGAGTTGGCTCATAGGAGTTTGTCTTGATTGTCCCCAGTGTGGAACCAGCTGACTGAGTTCCCTCTTTCCCGGCAGTGGCAGCTGGTGTCGGTTCAGCTTGAGCTGAAACGGTTGAGCCACCGAAGTTCGAGTCGTAGACCATGCGAGTGCGTGTTCCGACAGCGACAGTTTTCTTCACTGTATATGGCTCTTGAACAGTCACAACTTGATCGACATAGACAGTTTTCTGAACAGGGACTTTCTGTGTTGTTGTCACAGGGACCTGTCGAGAAACAGTATAGCTGACCTGGCGAGTTGTCGGAACTTGCACGGTTCGCTGCACAGGCACATTGTAGGCTACCACGTTGGGAACATACTCGCGGCGTGCATAGGCATTTGGTGTTACTGAATTACGAATAGCATATCCCAAACGATTCAACTCACCCACCAGACCTGGACGCCCATCGTACAGGCAAGGTGACATTTTAGGGACAGGCTGCCAGCTTGTTCGCCAGTAGCTGCGATTTTGCGTCACCTGGCGACACTCGTTGATAGTCTGAGTTGTGTACGAAGGAACATTGACTGTTTTGACTTCGTTGACCGTTTGATAGGAAACAACCTCACGGTCTTCCATCACGGTTTCAATCTTGGCGACTTTGACCGTCTTTTTTACTGGGCGGTATTGCACGACGTCCACTTCGTTATAAACCGTTTCTGTGACCGGCTTCATGCAGGGGCATGGGTTTACTGAAACCGTTTGATATACCGGCGGTGCACACACATTGGCGTAGTTCCAGGCAGGGGCAACACTGGCAACAGGAGTCGGTCCGCAGGTATTGCAGCCAGAGTTGAAAAACTGAGCATGTCCTGTTGAAGGCAAGCCGCACGCAGCAGCCAGCAAGGCAAGTCCCGTGATTGCGCGGGTTCGAATTCCGAGCATCTGATTCATCCTGAGTTCGAGTTTGAGGGAGGAAGTTCCGAATGGAGAAGTGATTGTGGGCAGGAAAAGAACCATCCCGCCCGGTGTTGTGGGGAGCAGTTTTTTACGAGAACCCTCAAAATCGGTCAATACGAGCGGACATTTCTGCCGGTTTCTCACGCCGAATTGCAATTGTTACAGATACCTGGCCAACACCAACGATTTACTTAAGTTATTGAGAAGTCAAAGACTCGACAGTTCTGGGAGAACTGAGGGGATTAGAAAGCCTAGGTGAAAAAGGGCTGATTCATAATTCGGCTCGAATCATCCACTAAAGTCCCCCCTTCTCCAATTTGAGACGTAACTCGAATCTCGGTAACAATTTGAAGGGGCACCTCATGATTGTTATGATCGGGTTGAAGACATCAGGATCAATTATCTCCACCACCGTCTGACATGAATACCAACGCTACTGAGACGGCCGTTAGTCGAAATAGTATCGACCACAAGTCGAGAAGGACCTCTCACCCGGTGGACTCACATCAAAACCTCGCTCAGCGAAATCTCATCGCAGAAAGGCTTGGCATGTACTGTACCGCCTATGAATGGTTTGGCGCTCACCTCGTAGACGATGGCACGACTCGTGGAACACGCTTCGCTGTCTGGGCTCCGAATGCCCGCGAAGTCTGTGTCATTTGCGACCGTAATGGCTGGCAACATGGTGGCTTCTATTTGAACTCCAGCGACGAAGGTGTCTGGACCGGTATCATTCCTGAAATGGGAGCAGGTGAAGCCTACAAATACAGTATCCGCTTTCAAGATGGTCAGATTGTCGAGAAGGCGGACCCCTATGCCTTTTATGCAGAACACCCTCCCAAGACTGCTTCTGTTGTCTGGGATCTCAATCAGCTTGAATGGTCAGATGAGGCATGGTTGGAAAAACGCAAAGAACTCAACTGGTTCGAAAAGCCTTTCAATGTCTACGAAGTTCATCTCGGCTCATGGAAACGCCCCACAGACGGTCGCACCTACTTCAATTATAACGAACTGGCAGATGACCTGATCGAATACTGCCTTGACTTGGGATACACGCATCTTCAACTGATGCCGATTACCGAGTACCCCTTCGATGGTTCCTGGGGCTATCAGGCAACTGGTTACTTCGCTCCAACCAGCCGCTATGGAACTCCCGAAGAGTTTGCAGCCTTTGTCAACAAATGCCACGAGGCCGGGATTGGAGTCTTGATCGATTGGGTCCCGGGACACTTTCCATCAGACATCCACGGCCTGGCTGCCTTCGATGGAACAGCACTGTACGAACATGCCGATCCACGAAAAGGGTTCCATCCTGACTGGAACACACACATCTTTAACTATGGCCGTAACGAAGTCCGTAACTTCCTGCTTTCCAGTGCTCACTTCTGGTGTGACAAATATCATATCGACGGTATCCGCGTTGATGCCGTCGCCTCGATGCTCTACCTCGACTACTCACGCAAAGAAGGCGAGTGGATTCCCAATGAATATGGTGGCCGCGAAAATATCGAAGCGATCACCTTTCTGAAAGACTTCAACACATCTCTGCATGGTTCATTCCCAGGCATCTTGACCGTGGCTGAGGAATCAACATCCTGGCCCGGTGTCAGTAAGCCAGTTTACGATGGCGGTCTCGGCTTCTCGATGAAATGGGACATGGGCTGGATGAATGACACACTCCGTTACATGTCCATGGACCCGATCCATCGCCAGTTCCACCAGAACGTCTTATCGTTTCGTTCTCTGTATGCCTTCAGCGAGAACTTCGTCTTACCACTTTCACATGATGAAGTGGTGCATGGAAAGCGATCCCTCATTTCGCAGATGCCAGGGGATCAATGGCAACAGTTCGCGAACTTAAGATTACTTCTTGGCTATCAGGGGACGCTCCCCGGGAAACACTTACTCTTCATGGGAGGAGAAATCGCCCAGTGGACCGAATGGAACCACGACGCTGAACTCGATTGGGCACTCCTGGAATTCGATACGCACAACGGGATCAAACGCTTTGTCAAAGACTTGAACCATCTCATCATTGATCATCCCGCTCTGCATGAACTCGATTGTCGCAGCGACGGTTTCTGTTGGATTCAAGCAGATGATGCAACCAATAGCGTTTACGCTTTCTGTCGTTTTGCCAAATCAACAAATGAAACGCTTGTTGTTGCTATGAATATGACACCAGTCCCGCGCGAGGGATATAAGATCGGTGTTCCACAACCAGGGTTCTACAAAGAACTCCTCAACAGCGACGCTTCACTGTATGGTGGAACCGATGTCGGCAACGCAGGTGGTGTTGAAACAGAAACTGAAGCAATGCACGGCATGGAACAAAGCCTCGAACTGACACTTCCCCCACTGGGACTGCTCGTGATGCAATGGCAGGGTGAAGAGGGCTAGGGACGAGAGGCTAGGGTCTAGTAAGTAGGCGTTTTTAGCTCGGCTGTAACGCGTACTCACATCTGGTTCCCAAGGTCCCCCTTGGGAATCCCAGTAATCGAAGCTCTGCTTCATATTATCTACGCTGATTTGTGAACTTGTGTTGTGTTTGAGTCAAGTTTTTGCCATCGTCTGCACGTCATCGATGATTTCGTTGAGAGTTGAGGGTTTAGAGTTGAGAGAAAATGAAAAGAAATTTTCCCTAGACACTCGTCCCTAGTCCCTAGTCCCTAGTCCCTAGCCCAGCGGCCTCAATTTGACGTCCTATTTGGTTGCGGTCGCACAGGCCGCGTTAGGTGATCATCGATGAAAAATATTTCACGGAGACAATCCCTACATCAACTCTTGGCAGTGACAACTGTTCCGCTCGTGTCCCCTTTTCTTCAGGCGTCTGAGGCAAAGCAGCACAGCCACCTCATCGCGACCAACACCTATCCCTGGTTGACTTTCGCCAGTCGCAAGAAGAACGAGTTCAACATTCACTCCGATCAGCTCCTGAGTGATATCTCCAGCACTGGCATCAATGGTTACGAACCGATCATTGAGAATCCCAGTGAATTCCGTGTCTTAAATGAGAGGCTGCCCCAGCATCAATTACAGATGCCATCCATTTACGTCAACAGCCTGTTGCACGACAAGGATAAAGTGAACCAGAGCATCGAAGAGGTGCTCGCTATTGCAGAGGCCGCTGTCCCGCTTGGTGTGAAAATTATCGTCACAAATCCATCTCCCATTCGTTGGGGAGGAACAGAAGATAAAACCGATCCGCAACTGCGTCTTCAGGCGAAATCACTCGACAGTTTGGGGCAGCAGTTACGCCAGCGCGGAATCACATTGGCCTATCACAACCACG